CCTGTATTTCATAGCAACAGCTGAAAACATCAGGGTTATCAACATTCCGCTTCTACTCATTCCAAAACACAGCAGCTACTGAGAGGGAGATTTAACTCTATCCCAGCTGAAACCAGGACCGCTGGCTGGGGTGTTCTGGGGTGCCGAAGGTCCGGCCCTGCTGGAGGGAAGGAGGGAGTGAGTTGGGGCAGGGCACACCCGAGGGTCCAGGGAACACCCTCGCTTGGTCCTGCCTGGAGATCATCCCCGTGGGCAGAGATAAATTACAGATCCATAAAACCAGGTGCTCCGCCGTGCCCGGCGCAGCCGGTGGGTGGTGGAGACAGGGCTGGAGGCCGGCTGCCGCGTCCGCAGGGCCCGGGTGAAGCAGCGGCGTGCAGGCAGCGTTGGGAAGCTCTCTGCAGGAAGGGCAGGGATGACAGGATTACCCTGCCAAGCCCCAGCCCGTAATCCCCGGCACCGTTCAGCCGGCCGCGTTTAATCCCGTTACGTGCCCGGCTGGTGTCTGTAGGGTGGGTGCTCGTCCGTGGTGCCCGTGGGAGCAGGGACCTGCCCTTGTCCGTGGGTTTGGGGATGGTGCTGCAAGCCACGGTGCCACAGCTTTTATTTTTTCCCTTAAACACACTGGCCACATCAGTGTCCCCTGCCAGGGTGGCTTCACCACCCAGCAAGTGGTGCCTGTCCTAATTTTTCTTTCTTTTCTTTGTTAAAATGGGCCTTTCACAGGGAAGGGAAGAATATTCCCAAGGTCCCTTTGGCTCTGTCGTGGGCGCTCCTGTGTGCCCGTCTTGGTGACCTTGGTTGGCGGCTCCTGGTGCTGCCCGCATCCCTCCCTGCCAGCCGGGCTGGGTGACAGGGGGCTCGGACCCCCCGCACCCCGTTCTCCTCGCCGCAGCCTGGCTCCCGCTGGGCAGGCAGGAGGAGCGGGGTTGCTGGGTCTGACGGGGGCTGGTGGGGGGCCAGGGACTGTCCCCATAGCAGGGGGCCTGTCCCAGTGCCGCTGGGAG